ACACATCACACTACTCACACCTCACACTACTCACACATCACACTACTCACACATCACACTACTCACACATCACACCATTACCACTACTCACACATCACACTACTCACACATCACACCATTACCACTACTCCCACAGTCACACTACTCCCACATCACACTACTCACACATCACACTACTCCCACAGTCACACTACTCCCACATCACACTACTCACACATCACACTACTCACACATCACACCATTACCACTACTCACACATCACACCATTACCACTACTCCCACAGTCACACTACTCCCACAGTCACACTACTCACACTTCACACTACTCCCACAGTCACACTACTCCCAGATCACACTACTCACACATCACACTACTCACACATCACACTACTCACACATCACACTACTCACACATCACACTACTCACACATCACACCATTACCACTACTCACACATCACACTACTCACACATCACACTACTCACACATCACACTACTCACACATCACACTACTCACACTACTCACACATCACACTACTCACACATCACACTACTCACACATCACACTACCCACACATCACACTACTCACACATCACACCATTACCACTACTCCCACAATCACACTACTCACACATCACCATTACCACTACTCACACATCACACTACTCACACATCACACCATTACCACTACTCCCACAATCACACTACTCACATCACCATTACCACTACTCCCATAATCACACTACTCACACATCACACTACTCACACATCACACTACTCACACATCACACCATTACCACTACTCCCACAATCACACTACTCACACATCACCATTACCACTACTCACACATCACACTACTCACACATCACACTACTCACACATCACACTACTCACACATCACACCATTACCACTACTCCCACAATCACACTACTCACATCACCATTACCACTACTTCCACAATCACACTACTCACATCACCATTACCACTACCCCCACAATCACACTACTCACATCACCATTACCACTACTCCCATAATCACACTACTCACATCACCATCACTACTACTCCCACGATCACACTACTCACACATCACCATTACCACTACTCCCACAATCACACTACTTACACATCACCATCACTACTCCCACAATCACACTACTCACATCACCATCACTACTCCCGTAATCACACTACTCACATCACTACTCCCACAATCACACGACTCACATCACTACTCCCACAATCACACTACTCACATCACCATCACCACAATCACACTACTCACATCACTACTCCCACAATCACACTACTCACATCACTACTCCCATAATCACACTACTCACATCACTACTCCCACAATCACACTACTCACATCACCATCACCACTACTCCCATAATCACACCACTCACATCACTACTCCCACAATCACACTACTCACATCACCATCACCACTACTCCCATAATCACACTACTCACATCACTACTCCCACAATCACACTACTCACATCACCATAATCACACTACTCACATCACCATCACCACAATCACACTACTCACATCACCATCATCACTACTCCCACAATCACACTACTCACATCACTACTCCCACAATCACACTACTCACATCAACACCGCTACTCCCACAATCACACTACTCACATCACTACTCCCACAATCACACTACTCACATCACTACTCCCACAATCACACTACTCACATCACCACCGAACATGAGCCAAAAGCCTGGGATTCAGTGGCACGTATGAATCAGACACAGACACGCATCCGACTATTGCGCTTTCAATAAACACAATATAGCCACCACGAACATAGCCACCATCGCCAACTCAAGCCTTGGGAGCACAAACAACACAACAAAGATCCCCCATGAAGCCTCAACAGGCTGTTTGGGGTAAGGTGCTGTTACCGTGTAGCGCCTACGAAGGCCGGCACATTAGGGAGTGGGGGCACCACGCCCGACCGCCTTTGTCTCACCCAGTAGCGATGTTCGCACACCACACCAGGTACTCCTTTGAGGCTGAGTAGACCTAGTGGATGGCTCGGGATCAATCCAGATAATCGTCACTGGCGATGGTCGTAAGCGAGGATCGAACATTGCTCACCGGTGTGGTAGCACAGCGCGCTAACCGCTACACCATCATCATCGTCGTCACCGTTATCAATATCACCACCATCACTAACTACCACAATTATCGGCAACACCATCACCATCAAATTTCAAAGATCATCAACTCGAGGCTGGATTTCAGGAGCACAAAGAAGCTGAACCACAGCGCCCATCCTCCAACATTAAGATCACCACCCCCCACCCATCATCATCACTACCACCAACCACCACAATCATTATCATACCTGCCATCCTCACCATCCACACACCCAGCATCACCCCCCACCATTCTCACCATCATCCCTACCATCCTCATCCCCATCATCACCATCACTCCCGCCATCCTCACCATCATCACCCCCACCCATTCTCACCACAATCATCAACACCACCACCATCATCACCCTCACACCCCCATCACCTCGATGATCATCACCCTCACCACCATCATCACCCTCACCACCATCATCACCCTCACACCCCCATCACCACGATGGTCATCACCCTCACCACCATCATCACCCTCACACCCCCATCACCACCATCATCACCCTCACCACCATCATCACCCTCACCACCATCATCACTCTCACACCCCCATCACCACGATGGTCATCACCCTCACCACCATCATCACCTTCACACCCCCATCACCACGATGATCATCAACCTCACCACCATCATCACCCTCACCACCATCATCACCCTCACATCCCCATCACCACGATGATCATCAACCTCACCACCCCCATCACCCTCACACCCCCATCACCACGATGATTATCACCCCCATCACCACGATGATCATCACCCTTACCACCATCATCACCCTCACACCCCCATCACCACGATCATCATCACCCTCACCACCACCATCACCCTCACACCCCCATCACCACGATGATTATCACCCCCATCACCATGATGATCATCACCCTCACCACCATCATCACCCTCACACCATCACCACGATCATCATCACCCTCACCACCACCATCACCCTCACACCCCCATCACCACGATGGTCATGACCCTCACCACCATCATCACCCTCACACTCCCATCACCACGATGATCATCACCCTCACCACCATCATCACCCTCACCACCATCATCACCCTCACCACCATCATCACCCTCACCACCATCATCACCCTCACCACCATCATCACCCTCACCACCATCATCACCCTCACAACCATCATCACCCTCACCACCATCATCACCCTCACACCCCCATCACCACGATGGTCATCACCCTCACCACCATCATCACCCTCACCACCATCATCACCCACACACCCCCATCACCACGATGATCATGGAGGAGTTTGCGCTACTCGAGACGACACAGAACTGGGAACAGGCGCCGTGCTGGAGTAGACATCCCCACTGCTCGTGGTTAACTTGCAGGAGACACACACGAGAGTGAACACACACACACAACGAGAGTAAACACACACACCACGAGAGTAAACACACACACGAGTGAACACACACACACGAGAGTGAACACACACACACGAGAGTGAACACACACACACGAGAGTGAACACACACACACGAGAGTGAACACACACACACGAGAATGAACACACACACACACGAGAGTGAACACACACACACGAGAGTGAACACACACACACGAGAGTGAACACACACACACGAGAGTGAACACACACACACGAGAGTGAACACACACACGAGAGTGAACACACACACGAGAGTGAACACACACACGAGAGTAAACACACACACGAGAGTGAACACACACACAACGAGTGAACACACACACAACGAGTGAACACACACACGAGAGTGAACACACACACACGAGAGTGAACACACACACACACACGAGAGTGAACACACACACACGAGAGTGAACACACACACACACGAGAGTGAACACACACACACACGAGAGTGAACACACACACACACGAGAGTGAACACACACACACACGAGAGTGAACACACACACACACACGAGTGAACACACACACACGAGAGTGAACACACACACACGAGAGTGAACACACACACACACGAGAGTGAACACACACACACACACGAGAGTGAACACACACACACACACGAGAGTGAACACACACACACACGAGAGTGAACACACACACACGAGTGAACACACACACACACGAGAGTGAACACACACACCACGAGAGTGAAAGTTTCGGCTATCGCGGTTCTCCTGAGAGAGAGAGAGACACAGAGACACACAGACACAGAGAGACACAGACAGAGACAGACACACACAGAGACACACAGACAGAGACACACAGACAGAGACACACAGACACAGAGAGACACAGAGACACACAGACAGAGACACAAACAGAGACACAGACACACACAGACAGAGAGATACAGAGACACACAGACAGACACACACAGAGAGACACAGAGACACACAGACACAGAGAGACACAGAGAGAGAGACAAAGACACACAGACAGAGAGAGACGGAGACACAGATACAGAGAGAGACACAGACAGACACACAGACACACACAGACAGAGACACAGACAGAGAGAGACACAGAGAGAGGTGAAATCCGCGTGACTCCCAGCGTTGTTTGTGACTGCTGGAGACTGAGAATGGAGAAGGGGAGGAAGGCTGCGCCACGCTCATGGACAACAATAGCGGGAGACTAGCGAGGCGGCCGCGGCGGAGGATCGCTCCTCGTGGCTTCAAGCGGCGAATGGAGGAGCTGGGGGGGGAGAATGTTTGGTGGATGATGGTGGTGGAGGTGGTGGTGGTGATAGAGGTGGTGGTGGTGATGGAGGTGGTGATGGAGGTGATGGTGGTGGTGATGGAGGTGGTGGTGAAGGCGGCGGAGTACTCGCCCGAAGTCGGCGTCCATCGACTTGAAGTAGAACTTGCAGTGCGGCTTGTTGAGCACCGCCTTGAAGTCGGCCAGCGTCACGAGCTCGGCGGGCACCGCCACCTTCACCAGGTACGGCGTCTCCTCCTCGTCGATGTGGTAGATGATCTTCGTCTCCCCCATGGTGGACCACAAGAAAGGCAACAACCCGCCGGCCGGCCCGCCCGCTCTCACCCCCTCCCCCCCTTACCACCACCGCCGCCGCCTCCTCCTCCTCTCTTGCGCGCTGGACAAGTGAGTGAGTTAGTGAGTGAGCCGAGTTGTTGAGGAGTTTGTGGCGGCGGAGAGCGAGCGAGGTGAGGTGAGGAGGTGGTGAATCGTTGTCGCTCTCACCACGGAGCGCCGCGCTCCCTGCCCGCTCACTGCGTCCCCAGCAGAGCCGCGCGGTGCCCCGCCCCCTACCACACATAGCCCCACCCCCAACGGTGACATCACGTCCGATGTATCCAACACGCCCCGCCCCCCGGATGTGACATCGTAAATCTGGTAGGGTTTTCACTGGGCACCCCCCCACATGCCACCAACTAAAATCACCTCGGAGTGGCCGTGATGTCACATCCGCTAGTTTTGGTGGACCCCACTACTCGCAGGCCGTGACGTCATAAAGTTATGTTGGGCCCTGTTGAGCAACGCGCCTTTGGGGGACTGAGTATGCGGACATGACGTCACGCAACAGCTGTCTCGTGCCGGATGCGATGTCATAAGATTTTGTGGTAGATCTCGGGGGGGGGGCCCGACTTACCGGTGGATGTGACGTCACGTGCGTTGGGGAGCGGTGGTGCAGCTGTTAGCGCGCCACGCTACCAACCTGGCGACCCGAGTTTGTTTCCCGCTCACGGCCAACGCCGGTGACGATTATTTGAACCGGTCCTGGGCCTCCCCTAGGTCGACTCGGCCTCAAATAAGTATCCGGTGCGGTGTAAACATCGCCACTGGGGAGACAAAGGCGGCTGGACGTGGTGCTGGACACCCACCCCCTCGTGTGCCTTTCCAGCCTTCACAGGTGCTGCCCGCTAACAGCACTTGCCCCTACAGTCTGTTACAGGCTAAACGGGGGGGGGGGTTGCGTGGCCGAACGGATACAAAATGGGTCATTGCCCCGAAACGTTGCCTCATTTGTATTCCACACAGCAGGTAAAGGTCCCGCAGGGCTGGGCAGCTCTTGTTTCAGAGGCCACTTGCCCACAGATGACGGCTCAACGAAGAGGCTCATCACATAGACATTTACAGCGGCCACAATACTCTGAGCACGAGGTGGTGGTGGTGTGGATTCTAAATGTGGAGAAAAGCCCACGCGACCACGGGGAGAGACACGCAGACTTTGCCAAATATATGGACTTCCGTGGTAAACTCAACTTCCATGGTAAACTAAACTTCCATGGTAAACTGGACTTCCGTGGTAAACTCAACTTCCGTGGTAAACTGGACTCCCATGGTAAACTGGACTCCCACGGTAAACTGGACTCCCACGGTAAACTGGACTTCCACGGTAAACTGGACTCCCATGGTAAACTGGACTCCCGTGGTAAACTGGACTTCCGTGGTAAACTGGACTCCCGTGGTAAACTGGACTCCCGTGGTAAACTGGACTCCCACGGTAAACTGGACTCCCACGGAAAACTGAACTCTCATGGTAAACTGGAGTTCCATGGTAAACTGGACTCCCACGGTAAACTGGACTTCCGTGGTAAACTGAACTCTCATGGTAAACTGGACTTCCATGGTAAAATGGACTCCCGTGGTAAACTGGACTTCCATGGTAAACTGGACTTCCACGGTAAACTGGACTCCCACGGTAAACTGGACTTCCATGGTAAACTGGACTCCCATTGTAAAATTGACTCCCGTGGTAAACTGGACTTCCATGGTAAACTGGACTCCCACAGTAAACTGGACTTCCATGGTAAACTGAACTCCCGTGGTAAACTTGGCTCCCATGGTAAACTGGACTCCCACGGTAAACTGGACTTCCGTGGTAAACTGGACTTCCGTGGTAAACTGGACTCCCACGGTAAACTGGACTCCCACGGTAAACTGGACTCCCACGGTAAACTGAACTCCTGTGGTAAACTTGGCACCCGTGGTAAACTGGACTCCCACGGTAAACTGGACTCCCACGGTAAACTGGACTTCCATGGTAAACTTGGCACCCGTGGTAAACTGGAATCCCGTGGTAAACTGGACTCCCACGGTAAACTGGACTCCCACGGAAAACTGAACTCTCATGGTAAACTGGACTTCCATGGTAAACTGGACTCCCACGGTAAACTGGACTTCCGTGATAAACTGAACTCTCATGGTAAATTGGACTTCCATGGTAAAATGGACTCCCGTGGTAAACTGGACTTCCATGGTAAACTGGACTTCCACGGTAAACTGGACTCCCACGGTAAACTGGACTTCCATGGTAAACTGGACTCCCATGGTAAAATTGACTCCCGTGGTAAACTGGACTTCCATGGTAAACTGGACTCCCACAGTAAACTGGACTCCCGTGGTAAACTGGACTCCCACGGTAAACTGGACTCCCGTGGTAAACTGGACTTCCATGGTAAACTGGACTTCCGTGGTAAACTGGACTTCCATGGTAAACTGGACTTCCATGGTAAACTGGACTTCCGTGGTAAACTGGACTCCCACGGTAAACTGGACTCCCACGGTAAACTGGACTCCCGTGGTAAACTTGGCTCCCGTGGTAAACTGGACTCCCACGGTAAACTGGACTCTCACGGTAAACTGGACTTCCGTGGTAAACTGGACTCCCACGGTAAACTGGACTCCCGTGGTAAACTGGACTCCCGTGGTAAACTGAACTCCCATGGTAAACTGGACTTCCATGGTAAACTGGACTCCCGTGGTAAACTGGACTTCCATGGTAAACTGGACTCCCACGGTAAACTGGACTCCCACGGTAAACTGGACTCCCATGGTAAACATCAAAGAGCCGCACTGCAGCTGCTGCGGCTACGCAGCAGGCTGCCGGCCGCGGAGTGCGTGGTGCAGTGACGTGTGGGTACCCGCATCGCTTCCATCTGGGCAGCGTGGAAGAGTAGACCAAACACTCTCTAGACTAGCGAGTAGTTACTGCGCGCCCTCTAGGGAGCGAGCCAGCAACTGCAGGGCTGCACCTTTACCCTAGTGTAACTGTAATAAAAGTATTTTAAACTACAAGCTCAGATCTGTGTTTTCTGGAGCGGTCCCTGTCCCTTTGACCTGCAAACAAAACAACCAGCACGTCTTGAAACGCAACAATTTATTACGTTAAAACTACATAATTCAATCGGAATAATTAACAATATGAGCCATGAGAATTACACTCCGCGTCGCGACTCAAAAAGTTAAGGAGAGACTGGGGGACCTGTGGTGGTGTTTGGAGGGGGGCAGGGAGTCCTGGGCACCCCTGGGGAGCCCTGGGCAGTCCTGGGCACCCCTGGGGAGTCCTGGGCACCCCTGGGCAGTCCTGGGCACCCCTGGGGAGTCCTGGGAAGCCCTGGGGAGTCCTGGGGAGCCCTGGGCACCCCTGGGCAGTCCTGGGGAGCCCTGGGGAGTCCTGGGGAGCCCTGGGCACCCCTGGGGAGTCCTGGGGAGCCCTGGGCACCCCTGGGCAGTCCTGGGGAGCCCTGGGGAGTCCTGGGGAGCCCTGGGCAGTCCTGGGCACCCCTGGGGAGTCCTGGGCAGTTTTGGGGAGCCACGTGTAAGGAGATGGCAATGCTTCAACAAGCGAGGCTGCGAGTGAAGCCTCGATCGCAACTCCACACGGAGAGGGCCCAATTCGGGGCCCCCTTCTTGGCGCTAAACCCGAGGGAAGCCAGTGCGACACCCCGCCACCCTGTTGCGAGCAAGTTGTGCACAACGGAGAGATACAACGATCCACCGTGGCTAAGAGATGTTAACTACCTCGCCTCGTATGCAGGCGATCGTGGGACCCTGGCGCCTGCTGTACATTTGGAGTTTGCGTGTCTCTCCCCGTGGTCGTGTGGATTTTTCTCAGGGTCCTCCGGTTTTCCCTCCACATATAGAAACACGCGTTTAGGAGTATTTGACCGCTATCAATTTCCACATCGCGATAAGCCACTTCATTGAGCTGGCATTTGTGGTCAGGGCCGCTCCTGAAAAAGAGCTCGATATCGCTGTGAGCCTTACCTGGTAAAATTTTTAAAAAATAGTCAAGTTTATCAATCAATTCTCCCCTCAACGGTTTCTGTGCCTGCGTATGCCGTCGTGTCAGCGGGGGAATGCCACGCCAATGATGGCTACGATGAACTGCACTGCTGCAGTCGAAGCGACTCGCTTGATGATGAAAGCGAGTCACTCATTTTCGTGCGATGTACAGCACTGTCGTTCTGCCGTAAAACTGGGACCCACATCTAGCGCAGAGAGGTTCTTACCTATGAACACCCATCGGCCGTTCAGCACTGATTCGAGCAAGTCTGGCCTGCTGATGAGACTGAACGCCGAACCGGTCCAGAGCCTGCACGTGTTGAGCCAATGCTGCTGAAATCAGGCGCTCGCATAAGATCATGTGGCTGATGGGACGTGTACTGAATAGTTGACATTTTATACGTGGAGGGAAAGATATGGAGAGGTTACTGTATTCTCCACCGAGACCGATGATTATTGTGTCAGGTGCTAAAATCTCATGAGGATTCATGTTTCCAGTTGCCATCCATGTGCTCACACCCAGTTAATGCCGTGTTCAAACCATGTTATCAAAATCAAATCGCACATTTGGTATTCGCGTCGTTCTTACAGCACAGGGCTATCACAGGAAGGTGCTACGTTTCATAGACGGGCATAAGTCCTCGGTAGTTTCACGGCGGTGGCCAATGTTGCTCCATGGCCTTTTACCCAATCGAGCGATCCATTCGGTCGGCAACGGAAATCAAACAGGCGACTGTTGTCATCGGTGACCGGGTAGAGACCGTCAACCCACTGCGCTTGAGAACCCCGGTTTGAATCGCAAGGCGGGTGCCGTAACCTGCTTTTGAACCCAAGGTCTCGGGGCGCTCTGACCTCTGAGCCACCCTGCCACCGCGCCGATAGGAAGGATTTTTTGTTGTCGTTTAAAACATTCCAATTATTTTTGCCCATTTGTGCCGCTGTCATCGCCGCGTTGTCGGGAGGTGGAGGAATTTCGGATCGAGCTCTCACGGTGTCAAAAATGTGCATTCCTTCCCGTAGCAGCATAATGTTGCATTTTTTTTAAATAACATGAAATAGATTTTTTTTTTTACATTTTCGCTGCCAATCTGGGCCAAAAATTCTTCCCTGAATTGCCAGGGACGCGCTGGTTTGCTGGTGAGCTGCGTGGTTGCAATACCATTTTAATTTTCAAAATATGCCGATCGTCACAAGATCTGTTGACCATAACTTTGCAAGTGTATTTCACATTTTTCACGGCCTAGTTTGTTGCGCATTGCCATACTTTTTAGGAGCAATAAAATAAAACTACTTCAAACATTCCTCAACTGCAGTTTCACTCAACACAAGCCTGCCACGAGTCTTCTTGGCATTACAATCTATAACGCTTAAAACGCACACACGCTGCCAGTTACGCTCGAATAATTAAATAACTGTATTAACCACTATGATGTCATGACCGCTATGCCATCAAATAACATGGAAAAAAACATTTCGCGAAGCGCTAATTTAACGGACAATAGCTCTTAATTTACAGCTTTAAATTGTTGATAGTCCCTAAAATATATTTTCTCGGGAAACAAAATATTTCCGAGGGATCAAACGGCCGCAGCGATAATCGCGATGCGGCAATATTTTCCAAAACGGACGGTGCCATCATGGTGCGCGCCTTGCGTCGTGTGTGCCGTAGTACCGCCACGTTGCGGCAACTCTCCCGGTAAGGCCAGTAGCGACTGGATTTAGTGTTTGTTAAAACATGACTGGAAAAGATGCTATGTTAATTATAAACCGAACAGCTTCGCAGATGGACGGACGGTAGACATAACGGGCTGACATTTTTCACGGCCGGAGCAAAAAAAGTCCCTTATCAGCCACCTGAAAAGTTCAACAAATATTGTTCAAACGAGACGGGGGCTCGGAGCGATCGCCGGTGATTGACCAGTTCCATTGGATGCACTTGGCCAAGGAAACGTTGCATTCACCGCTGCGTAGATTTTTCATGGTTGTGCCGCGTGCTTTGGGTTTGTACCCCGTGTAGTACGGCACGGCGTCCGATGTTTTTCTCCATGTGCCGGAAACTTATTCAAAATACCAACTGGGAATACGGTTCCTCAAGAAGCTCCCAGCACGTGGAGCGAAACGTCGGGCATCAGGACACGCGGCACAACCCGAAAGCACAAGACGCGGAGCGCTGAATTCAGACTTTGCCAAGCAAATGACGGCAGACGCTATCGCTGCCTCAAGCCGAAATCACAATATCTAAACAATCATCACGTACAAAATTATTTTTTTTCCTTTTGTTTTTAAATTACTGTATATATTTTGTTTTTACAGCGCACGCGCGCAGACGTGCAAAATGTACACACACAGGAACCATGTACACCGACTACAACTCATCTGTTACGGTGCGTCATGAACCTCAAAAGCTTTCGGGTGCAATACCTCAACAGGCAGACCGACAACGCGGCCGCTGGCACCGAGCCAGTGATGGAAATTCCATGCGGTGATGACAATGGTCGTGTGTATGATGATGCTGATGATGGTTGTGATTCGGTAATAAAAAAATGTTCAGATATTGGTGGTGAAAGCCTACGTGTTAAATTGGTAATGCTGGTAATGCTAAAAATGGTGTTGTAATGATGATGATTGGCAAAGATGTTGATGGGAATGATAGTTTATGACCGCGACGCTGAGATCCTGCGTATGACGAATGATCAGCATCATCAACATAATGATGATAACTTGGATGGGGAATGATGTTTGTTCATGACAATGAGGGGTGATGCTGGTGATACTGAGTTTTCCTTCAATGGACGATGTTACTGAATGTGATTAATATAATCATGTTTAGTTTTATGTGTCGCGTCGTCCATGCAAATTGCATCTCTCACAATCGCTGAGGAACTAGAGGAGAGCTAGAAGGCAGCAGCCAGGCACGGAGCCGGTGCCAACAATTTCCCACGCTCTGCAGTCCTCTATATAGTAAGATGTTTTTAGCCAATTAATAAGTCTTTATGCACATGGAGTGAACCCACGAATGGTAATGTTAATGGGAATTAGAGGTTATGATGGTGATGCTAAGATTCTATACATGACTATGATCGGGGTAATTATCACCTCAATGATAACTTCAACTAGTAATCATATTATTGGCGATCCTGATGATGGCGCGGTGAATGATGACAGCCTTGATGTTGGTGATAGTGACGACGAGCGGAGTCGGACTCTGAACAGGAATTGAACTTGCAAACCTTCCGACTGTGAGTTAAGCACCGTAGCCAATGAACCACCTGAACCGATCACCCCACACAGCAACCCCACACCCCGCACACCGTAACAAACCTACTGGATGCGGTCTCGCTCGGACAGCGATTGACGGAGCCGGAAATGGAGACAAGCGGCGATGTCGCGTCACTCCGAAAGAAAATCTTTAATCCACCGCTCCTCACGACAGCGCAGGAGGTGGTGGAGGAGGTGTGTGTTTGGTGTAGGAGGTGTGTGTGTGTGTGGACGAGGAGGTGTGTGCGTGTGAGAGGAGGTGTGTGTGTGTGGACAAGGAGGTGTGTGTGTGTGGTGGAGGAGGTGTGTGGAGGAGGAGGTGTGTGTGGAGGTGTGTGTGGAGGTGTGTGTGGACGAGATGTGTGTGGAGGAGGAGGTGTGTGTGGAGGTGTGTGTGTGCGTCCCAGTGGGGAGCGATAGTGTAGCGGTTGGCGCTACGCTGCGCTATGAACCCGGCGACCCGAGTTCGATTCCCGCTCACGGCCAACACCAGTGACGATAATCTGAACCGGTCCTGGGCCTCCCCTAGGTCGACTCAGCCTCAAATGAGTACCTGGTGCGGTGGATAAAAACATTGCCACTGGGGAGACAAAGGCGGTCGGGCGTGATGCTGGCCACCCACCCCCTCGTGTGCCGTTCCGGCTTTCATAGGTGCTCGCTAACAGCACTTGCACCGACAGTCTGTTAAGGCTATATGGGGGATCTTTGTTTTGTTTTGTGTGCGTCCCAAAGCAGTGGGCGGGAAGGAAGTCCACCTCACCTGGCGCGAATGTCACGGCCACAGTCGCAACTTAAAAGTGTTAAATTGCGACTGCTGCCGATGCTGCTGCCGATGCTGCTGCTGCTGCTGCGACGTGGGGGACAGGGGTTGTGTTTGGTGGTTGAGTGGATGGGTGGGTTTCTAGTTGGGTGGGTTTCTGGTTGGATGGGTGGGTGTGCGGATGAGTGGGTGGATTTGAGCAAGTGTTGGTGTGTGGCGAGGAAGTTCATTCGTTGATGTGTGAGTGTGTGGGTCAGTGTGAATGTGTCGGCAAGCACATATGTGAAGGTGTGAGTGGATGGGTGAGCGAGTGAGGGCGTTAGTGGCTGGGTGAGTCAATGAGTTAGTGGCTGAGAGGGTTAACATGCGAGCGGGTGAACAGATGTATAAGTAATTAAGTGAACGAGCGTGCGAGTGAATGAATGAATGAGTGCAGAGGTGTGTAAATAAGTGAGCAAGCGAGTGGTGAGCGACGCCCAACGTGAGCTCACACGTAGAAGAGCCGCACCTTGGAGGTGCTGACGAGGACTTCGTCGTCGAAAAAATTAGTCTCTATTACGACATTTCCACTGTGGAGAGAGACACAGAGACTCAGAGGAGCGAGTGCGCGGGAAAGTGGGTGGGTCAATGAGTGTGTGGATGAGTGGGTGTGCAGGTGTGTGGGCGAGTGTGCAAGTGAGTGGATGGTTTCGTGGGCAAGTGGTTTTGCGGTTGAGTGGGTGGGTTTGTGGGCGCGCGGGTGGGCGAGTAAGTGTGTGGATGAGTGGGTGTGCAGGTGTGTGGGCGAGTGGGTGTGTAGGTGAGTGTGTGAGTGTGCAAGTGAGTGGATAGTTACATGGGTGAACGGTTGTGTGGATGAGTGGATGGGTTTGTGGATGCACGGGTGAGTGGGTGGGCGAGTAAGTATGCGGGTGAGTGGGTGGGCGAGTAAGTGTGCGGCCAAGTGGATGGGTTTGTGGCAATGAGGTGCGGGTTAATGGGTGTGGGTGTGTAAGCATGCGGGCGAGTGGGTAGGTCTGTGGGTGAGTGAGTCGGCTTGTGTCATCAGCACACTTATCGTGTCATCGTCTGTCACCAACGTGTCATCCCATCAGTGTTATTTCACTTTCTAGTCATTATATCATCATTATCACTGTGCGATATATGTCACTGCGGAGTATCGTGTCGTGTGTTATCGTGTGTTTAACTGCATGTTATCATGTCAAGTTATTGTGTTCTCATGTCACGTGTTATTCCACGTAGTTGCATCTCAGTGTGTTAGCGACGTGTGATATTGTATTATTACGTCATATTATGTCACTTGTAACTGTGTTATCACGTGTTGTTACATGTCACTGCGTGTTATCGCGTCAACTTGTATTATGTTGTTGAATGTCACTTTGTGTTATAGTCACGGATCATGTGTTGCCGTGTCTTATTGCATGTCGCTACGTTGGCATATGCTACAGTGTCGTGTGTTGTAGTGTGTTGTCGTGGTGTTGCTATGTTAGTGCATGTCACCGTGTTATAGTGTTGTGTGTTGTCGTGGTGTTGCTATGTTAGTGTATGTCACTGTGTTATAGTGTTGTGTGTTGTCATGTGTTATTGTGGCGTTGCTATGTTAGTGCATGTCACTGTGTTATAGTGTTGTGTGTTGTTATGTGTTATTGTGGTGTTGCTATGTTAGTGTATGTCACTGTGTTATAGTGTTGTGTGTTGTCGTGGTGTTGCTATGTTAGTGCATGTCACTGTGTTATAGTGTAGTGTGTTGTCATGTGTTATTGTGGCGTTGCTATGTTAGTGCATGTCACTGTATTATAGTGTAGTGTGTTGTCGTGGTGTTGCTATGTTAGTGTATGTCACTGTGTTATAGTGTTGTGTGTTGTCGTGGTGTTGCTATGTTAATGCATGTCACTGTGTTATAGTGCAGTGTGTTGTCGTGGTGTTGCTATGTTAGTGTATGTCACTGTGTTATAGTGTTGTGTGTTATGGTGGCGTTGCTATGTTAATGTATGTCACTGTGTTATAGTGTTGTGGTGGCGTTGCTATGTTAGTGTATGTCACTGTGTTATAGTGTTGTGTGTTGTCATGTGTTATTGTGGCGTTGCTATGTTAGTGCATGTCACTGTGTTATAGTGTTGTGTGTTGTCATGTGTTATTGTGGTGTTGCTATGTTAGTGCATGTCACTGTGTTATAGTGTTGTGGTGGCGTTGCTATGTTAGTGTATGTCACTGTGTTATAGCGTTTTATGTTGTGGTGGCGTTGCTATGTTAGTGTATGTCACTGTGTTATAGTGTTGTGTGTTGTCATGTGTTATTGTGGCGTTGCTATGTTAGTGCATGTCACTGTGTTATAGTGTTGTGTGTTGTCGTGGTGTTGCTATGTTAGTGTATGTCACTGTGTTATAGTGTTGTGTGTTGTGGTGGCGTTGCTATGTTAGTGTATGTCACTGTGTTATAGTGTTGTGTGTTGTCATGTGTTATTGTGGTGTTGCTATGTTAGTGCATGTCACTGTGTTATAGTGTTGTGGTGGCGTTGCTATGTTAGTGTATGTCACTGTGTTATAGCTTTGTGTGTTGTGGTGGCGTTGCTATGTTAGTGTATGTCACTGTGTTATAGTGTTGTGTTGTGGTGGCGTTGCTATGTTAGTGTATGTCACTGTGTTATAGTGTTGTCATGTGTTATTGTGGTGTTGCTATGTTAGTGCATGTCACTGTGTTATAGTGTTGTGGTGGCGTTGCTATGTTAGTGTATGTCACTGTGTTATAGTGTTGTGTGTTGTCATGTGTTATTGTGGTGTTGCTATGTTAGTGTATGTCACTGTGTTATAGTGTTGTGTGTTGTCATGTGTTATTGTGGTGTTGCTATGTTAGTGTATGTCACTGTGTTATAGTGTTGTGTGTTGTCATGTGTTATTGTGGCGTTGCTATGTTAGTGTATGTCACTGTGTTATAGTGTTGTGTTTTGTCACGTGTTGTCGTGGTGTTGCTATGTTAGTGCATGTCACTGTGTTAAAGTGTTGTGTGTTGTCGTGGTGTTGCTATGTTAGTGTATGTCACTGTGTTATAGTGTTGTGGTGACGTTGCTATGTTAGTGTATGTCACTGTGTTATAGTGTTGTGTGTTGTCATGTGTTATTGTGGCGTTGCTATGTTAGTGCATGTCACTGTGTTATAGTGTTGTGTGTTGTCATGTGTTATTGTGGTGTTGCTATGTTAGTGCATGTCACTGTGTTATAGTGTTGTGGTGGCGTTGCTATGTTAGTGTATGTCACTGTGTTATAGCGTTTTATGTTGTGGTGGCGTTGCTATGTTAGTGTATGTCACTGTGTTATAGTGTTGTGTGTTGTCATGTGTTATTGTGGCGTTGCTATGTTAGTGCATGTCACTGTGTTATAGTGTTGTGTGTTGTCGTGGTGTTGCTATGTTAGTGTATGTCACTGTGTTATAGTGTTGTGTGTTGTGGTGGCGTTGCTATGTTAGTGTATGTCACTGTGTTATAGTGTTGTGTGTTGTCATGTGTTATTGTGGTGTTGCTATGTTAGTGCATGTCACTGTGTTATAGTGTTGTGGTGGCGTTGCTATGTTAGTGTATGTCACTGTGTTATAGCTTTGTGTGTTGTGGTGGCGTTGCTATGTTAGTGTATGTCACTGTGTTATAGTGTTGTGTTGTGGTGGCGTTGCTATGTTAGTGTATGTCACTGTGTTATAGTGTTGTCATGTGTTATTGTGGTGTTGCTATGTTAGTGCATGTCACTGTGTTATAGTGTTGTGGTGGCGTTGCTATGTTAGTGTATGTCACTGTGTTATAGTGTTGTGTGTTGTCATGTGTTATTGTGGTGTTGCTATGTTAGTGTATGTCACTGTGTTATAGTGTTGTGTGTTGTCATGTGTTATTGTGGTGTTGCTATGTTAGTGTATGTCACTGTGTTATAGTGTTGTGTGTTGTCATGTGTTATTGTGGCATTGCTATGTTAGTGTATGTCACTGTGTTATAGTGTTGTGTGTTGTCACGTGTTGTCGTGGTGTTGCTATGTTAGTGCATGTCACTGTGTTAAAGTGTTGTGTGTTGTCGTGGTGTTGCTATGTTAGTGTATGTCACTGTGTTATAGTGTTGTGGTGACGTTGCTATGTTAGTGTATGTCACTGTGTTATAGTGTTGTGTGTTGTCATGTGTTATTGTGGTGTTGCTATGTTAGTGCATGTCACTGTGTTATAGTGTTGTGTGTTGTCATGTGTTATTGTGGTGTTGCTATGTTAGTGCATGTCACTGTGTTATAGTGTTGTGGTGGCGTTGCTATGTTAGTGTATGTCACTGTGTTATAGTGTTGTGTGTTGTCATGTGTTATTGTGGTGTTGCTATGTTAGTGTATGTCACTGTGTTATAGTGTTGTGTGTTGTCATGTGTTATTGTGGTGTTGCTATGTTAGTGCATGTCACTGTGTTATAGTGTTGTCGTGGTGTTGCTATGTTAGTGTATGTCACTGTGTTATAGTGTTGTCGTGGTGTTGCTATGTTAGTGTATGTCACTGTATTAGTGTTGTGTGTTGTCATGTGTTATTGTGGCGTTGCTATGTTAGTGCATGTCACTGTGTTATAGCGTTGTCGTGGTGTTGCTATGTTAGTGTATGTCACTGTGTTAGTGTTGTGTGTTGTCATGTGTTATTGTGGCGTTGCTATGTTAGTGTATGTCACTGTGTTATAGTGTTGTGTGTTGTCACGTGTTGTCGTGGTGTTGCTATGTTAGTGCATGTCACTGTGTTATAGTGTTGTGTGTTGTCGTGGTGTTGCTATGTTAGTGCATGTCACTGTGTTATAGTGTTGTGTGTTGCCGTGGTGTTGCTATGTTAGTGCATGTCACTGTGTTATAGTGTTGTGTCGCGTCATGTCACTGTGATGTCGCGTCATGTCACGTCATGTCATGTCATGTCACGTCATGTCGCGTCATGTCACTGTGATGTCACGTCATGTCACGTCATGTCTCGTCATGTCACGTCATGTCACTGTGATGTCGCGTCATGTCACGTCATGTCACGTCATGTCACTGTGATGTCGCGTCATGTCGCGTCATGTCACGTCATGTCACTGTGATGTCACGTCATGTCACGTCATGTCTCGTCATGTCATGTCATATCACTGTGATATCGCGTCATGTCGCGTCATGTCACGTCATGTCACGTCATGTCACTGTGATGTCGCGTCATGTCGCGCCATGTCACGTCATGTCACTGTGATGTCACGTCATGTCACGTCATGTCGCGTCATGTCACGTCATGTCACTGTGATGTCACGTCATGTCACGTCATGTCTCGTCATGTCACGTCATATCACTGTGATATCGCGTCATGTCGCGTCATGTCACGTCATGTCACGTCATGTCACTGTGATGTCGCGTCATGTCGCGTCATGTCACGTCATGTCACTGTGATGTCGCGTCATGTCATGTCACGTCACGTCATGTCACTGTGATGTCGCGTCATGTCGCGTCATGTCACGTCATGTCACTGTGATGTCACGTCATGTCACTGTGATGTCACGTCATGTCACGTCATGTCTCGTCATGTCACGTCATATCACTGTGATATCGCGTCATGTCGCGTCATGTCACATCATGTCACGTCATGTCACTGTGATGTCGCGTCATGTCACGTCATGTCACGTCATGTCACTGTGATGTCGCGTCATGTCGCGTCATGTCACGTCATGTCACTGTGATGTCGCGTCATGTCAGTGTGATGTCGCGTCATGTCGCGTCATATCACTGTGATATCGCGTCATGTCACGTCATGTCACTGTGATATCGCGTCATGTCACGTCATGTCTCGTCATGTCGCGTCATGTCACTGTGATGTCGCGTCATGTCACGTCATGTCTCATCATGTCGCGTCATGTCACGTCATGTCACTGTGATATCGCGTCATGTCACGTCATGTCTCGTCATGTCGCGTCATGTCACGTCATGTCACTGTGATGTCGCGTCATGTCACTGTGATGTCTCGTCATGTTGCGTCATGTCACTGTGATGTCGCGTCATGTCACGTCATGTCACGTCATGTCTCGTCATGTCACGTCATGTCACTGTGATATCGCGTCATGTCGCGTCATGTCACGTCATGTCTCGTCATGTCACGTCATGTCACTGTGATATCGCGTCATGTCTCGTCATGTCACGTCATGTCACTGTGATATCGCGTCATGTCGCGTCATGTCATGCATCACGTCGAGTCACGTCTCGTGCGTGTCATGCGTACTTGAGCACGTTGGCCGGCATCATCTGCGACTCGGGCGCGGCTTCGATGAGCGACTGCCAGGTGTTGGTCGAGTTGGGGATCACAAACCCAAACTCAAAGTACCACTCTGCCGCGAGAGGACAACCACGCGCACCTCGTCACTCCTCGCCGCACACTCGTCGCACACACTCGTCGCACACACTCGTACTCTTAACGAACACGTGCATCCGCTGTGCATGTAGCGCGAGCAACAGATTGGGAGGTGAGTTGAGCGGCCAAGGGACGGGCGAGCAAGACGGGCGATGAGCGGGCAGGCGAGTGATCGAGCGAGTTGGGGGCGAGTGGGCCGGTGAGCCGATGGATGGGTGAGCAAGATGGGAGTTGAGTGGGCAGGTGAGCGAGCGAGTGAGTTGGGAAGTGGGCGGGCAGGCGGCCGGGTGAGCGAGTTGGGAGATCAGCGGTCGGGTCGGCCAGTGAGTTGGTGGTGGAGTAAGGAAAATTAGTTGGTGAGCAAGTGGACGAGCAAGCGAGCGAATTGGTGGGCGAGCAGGCAAGAGAGTTGGGAGGGAATTGGGTGGACACACACCTTCCAGACACTGTCCCTTGAAGAACACCTTCTGCTCCAGGCGAAACTTGTCCATCTGTTCGGCGGATGAGAAGTTGATTTCTCGAGACACCGCGCGGCATTTTAGAATCTTCTTGGGCACGCGTGCTGTGGGTGGTGGGGGCGGAGGAAGGGATTGGGGGGGGGAGGTGGGGGGGGGTTTGCAGGCACATGAGCCCACACATGGGTGAGTAGGATTTGGCAAAAAAACGGTTACGCTGGGTGGGATGCGTGCATAGAATGGGGGGGGGGGGGGGGGGGGGGGCGGCCAATTGCCCAGTCGGGCATTGAAGCGAACTCCACAAGTTCAGCAACCAAGGGAAAGAAAAGACCTGACGGCAGACAGTGGGAGACTTTGAAGCAGATCTAGAGGGTCTCTTTGTGAGTTTGTGGGGTCTCTGGCCAAGAGCAGATGGTGAGATATTGTCAGGGTGGATCCTGCCTGGTTATAACGGAACTCCACTAACCTGGCCAACCATGGAAAAACAAAACTAAAAGGTTTGGAGGCTAACCATGCACAGCCACTATAACTTTCGCACACACGTACACGCACACTCGTACACACTCGTAAACACACCCAAACACGCCAATACACAAAAAGGCAAAGATCTCCCGTATTGCCTTAACAAACTGTTGGGGCAAGTGCTGTTCGTGAGCACACTCGGTGTATGGGTGGACAGCACCACGCCTGGCCGCATTTGTCTCCCTAATTGCGATGTTTACACACCGCACCAGGCCCTCATTTGACGGTCAGTCAACCTAGGGGAGGCCGAGGACTGGTTCAGATAATCGTCACCGGTGTTGGACGTGAGCAGGAATCTGCTAACCGCTACAATACCGCTCCCCGACTGTAATACGCACACAATGATCGCCATTCGCCACTAAGTGGCGGTGACGTCACCACGGCGCCTGTGCCAGGCTATGTGCACTTCAAGGCCACGTGAAGTGTTGAACGCCCGCTGGCAGGTCACGGGACAGTCCCAGCTGCCATGCGTTGACTGAGATGACTGGCCGATGCACCACCTGTGCCCCCTACTGTGCCAACTTGCTGTGTTTTAACCGCCCGGCGCTCAGCTCGTTGTTGTGAGCACACACTCACACACACTCAGAAACACACGCACCTTCGTGCTCCACCCCGGGCACCGACAGGTCCTCCGTGCCCTGCCACAGCACCTTGCCACTCTCCGCATCCCGCAGGTTCATCCAGTTGCTGATGCGAGGGAAAGTCAAGGAATGAACATGGACCGCCGCGTGTGTTTGCGTGCGCGTGCGTGCGTGCGCGCACGCCTGTGTGCAAGCCTTGTGCTTGCAGGTGTGCTCACATTGGTGTTTGTGGAGAAGGCTCGTGGAGGAAACGACTGGGTAGTTGGGAGGCAGTCGCCCTCCAGCAACAGCGGAGGATGGAGATGGGAGGAGCGGCGCTCACAACGTACGAGCTAAGCGCCGGGCAGATACAAGGCAACAAGTTGGTAGAGTGGGCAGCACAGGCAGCTCAGTCAACCCATGGACCCCTGCTGGCGAGCCTTTCACATTTCACGTGACGGCCTCAAAGTGCACCTCGCCCGGCACAGGCACTTGTGGTGACGTCACCGCCCGCTTTGTGACGAACGGCGGGTGTTGTTGTCACCGTTTAATCCCACTGCTTGCGGATGCGTGCACGTGAGCTATTGTGTGTGCGTGTCACCCTACACGAAGCTCACACGGGTCTTATTTTGGCCACAGTTAGGCCTCATCTTCTCTCCGCTTGTGCCACACAGACCCCGTTTACAAGGACATCTGCACCGGTTTGAAACATTCGGACCGGCCTGGGTTTAGCCAGGCTGGTACACAGTTGCGAGCAGTTCATAGGCACGGAGCGTTGTACTCGGGAGCAAATGCATAAACACGTTCCGACCTCGGTTGGAAAGCATTACCAAAGGAATGTTTTGCTTAACGAGGGAAGAATTCCGAGTAGCTGGAGAAAACCCACCACCACGCACACGAGTGGGACAGCACTCAGAGAGTCGACGCAGGAAGTACACTTGCAATGCTGCAATGTGGCACCCGCCCCCTTGCCCTCTAGCCCACCTTCTCTAGGAATTTAATTAGCAGTAATGACCATCACTAAGTGCATAATCCACAGGCGGCCAGGCCAGGCAGCGACTTGCAAAGGCCGCTGCACGCGTGCCCTCCGAGCACAGCGAGCACATTAATATTTAAGTTTTTGACATTAGAACTCGGAGTGCGAAGGTCACGAGTCAAAATCCCAGTAGGGGGTCCACTCAGCTCATCATCAGATCACCACCACCATGTATGTTTGTATGTGGAACTTCGTTCACACGGGACGTAGCTAACCATGCTAATCGGAGAAGTGTGGGGAGGGAAGGAAAATAAAACTAAACACAGAAAGCAGCTATTACTGAGATCGAAGACAAAGATCTCTCGTATGTCCTTAACACACTATTAGGGGCAAGTGCTGTTCGCGAGTCAAACCACCATCGTCAAAATCGCCGCACGCAATCGTCCACCATCATTAAACCATCGCAGTCATTTTTCGATTTAAAGCTTTCGTGACTGCAGGGATTCATATTCTTGGTTCTTTACCGAAAGAACCAACATCACAGCCATTGTTACTATCAACATCGACGTGCAATAGTCTGAATGCTATGGTGGCTGTGTGCCAAGGATGCGTTTCCTTACTTTGCAATAGCACTTGAGCGAGCTTGTCAAGTGCACGGAGTACAGTAGGCATGAGCATTGGCAAAGGCTAGAGGGCTTTGCTGCAGGCGAGCGGACACCCCACGGAATGATGGCATGGTCAGAATCACGGCATTCCGTGGTGGGAACGCAAAACGAATCACTCGCCGTCGTTGAAAGAATACAAGCGAACAACATAAATAAGCAAGACAATATGCCTCCTACCCATATCTGTGCCTCCACATGAAAAGAATCGAGTTTTTTTTATATATATGCTATCGGCCACACGGCCGTGTGGGAGCGTATATCGGAAGCATTGGTTCAATGCAAGCAAAACTCAGGAGCGGATTAGACGTGCACTCTCTCACCAATTATTTGGAGCAGTGCGATAAGATTATTTTGCATCGATCAAGGGCCCATAACTCAGCCTGGCTATGTTGATGAGACACTGCACGTTGACACCGTTCTCAAGAATTTGCTTGTATTGAAACAAATGCTGGCGAACGTCAGGCACTCCCAGAAGGTCGTGTGGTCAATGGGATGTGTAGGAAATACCTTCTATATTTGTATATTATTATTACTATAAGCCAGGAATGTGTCCCGTGCGTGACGTCACTCCACGAGGCCCACCCCCCCCCCGCGTGACGTCACTCCACAGGAGGCCCACCTCCCTCAAAAATATTTATGAGTGGGTGGATTTTTACACTAACGCAGAGGAAGGTCGAGCCGAATGAAATAATGAATTTCGCAAAGTCGCTTCAGATATGACGTTTCTTTACAGAAAGTGACGATAAAAAATAAATCTAAGCAGCACGGTGCTTGACTTAAAACTTTCGTGACTGCAGGAATTCATATTCTTGGGTCTTTTGGTCAAGTCACGTGACTTTACCAAAAGACCCAATAATACAGCACAGTGCTACATGCGTGTGTGACGTCACTGCAAAAGAGCCCCCCCCCCTTCATTAATATTCATGCCCGTGTGGAAATTTACACTAACGCACAAGGTCGCGCACTCCACATGCCGCACCCCTCCCCTCATTAATAATCATGAGCGGGTGACGTCACTCCACATGCCGCACCCCTCCACAATAACCATGAGGGGGTGACGTCACTCCACATGCCGCACCCCTCCACAATAACCATGAGGGGGTGACGTCACTCCACATGCCGCACCCCTCCACAATAACCATTAATGGGTGACATCACTCCAGATTGAGCAAACCCCTCCCCCCCCCTCATTAATAATCATGAGCTGAACAATTTTTTCTATTGAATATTTCAGATTTACTGCAATATACACCCGTCCTTGGACGGGCAAAACAGCTCGTAACGTAATAATTTACTTATTTCTCCAGTAAAGGCAACTCGAGTCGTAGGACTCTTTTCCAGCAAGGTCCTCCTTGGTTTTTATGTTGAGATGTTTTCAGCCGATTAACGATGGTGATACCAGAGCACCCGGAGAAAACCCACGCCTTGCGTGAGGACGAAGTGGGGTGGGGGGGGGCAACACTCAATCCTCGTAGAGATGAAAACCAATGGCGATTAGTCCACAGCTTTCTGCAATGCCTTCTCCCGGCGAGCCACAGTGATGGCGCCTCCTCGACACCAACATCTGTGCGGTGATCCACCACCAATCGCCAACCCCGGGCAGCCTCCAGTGGCGTGTTACCGGCGTGCGCCACCACCGCCCGGGCCTCACGTGGAGGGCGGGGAAAAGTGGAGTCGACGCTTCGTCCGCTCGTTCGTGTCGCCGCAGGGGCAGGAACGAGCGCACGTTCAAAGTGAGCTCAATTGCAGTTGAGCACCTTTAGAACAGGTGTCGCCTTCCTATCCGAAAGGGGAATGCGAGTAGGCACCCCCCCCGCCCAACACCTCCCCGACTTTTCACTCCTCTCGCCGCTCGATGCCAAAGTGGGGTCGTGTTCCATAGCCAGGAGGGACAACGGCCCGCGGGCGCTGCGGTGATAAAGCGACGCCGTGGCCAATCAAAAGCCTTGGTCGTGAGTTTCAAACGGGACGAGACAACACGGCGTGGGAAGCGCACGGCCCGTGAGGCATGTGTAAAAGAAAAACGAACCATCAGCGTATCACGACCCAGGCCATTGTGGTCCTCTTGTCTTAGAATCAGATTTTCTTCAGGATATGCCGACGGTTTTCTGCACATACGCAATGGCCGTGTGCCTTTTTACACCTCCGTGTGTGCCTCGTCTGAAGCTTCCGGTTTTCCAAGCGGCACTCTTATTCGGTAATGATGATGATGGGGGACTCTTCCCGTCATTTACAGATTTCGTGAGGAGTGGGTCACCGACCGGCCGGTGTGGCAACTGGCGCTTTCATGGATTACAGACGCAGGGTTTGTCGAGGTGGTGCGGTAGTGCAGTGGCCAAGAGCACTGCACTACGAAAACCGGCGACCCGGGTTTGATTCCCGCTCATGACCAATAGCAGTGGTGAACATCTGAACAGGTCCTGGGCCCCCGCCTAGGTCGACTCGGCCTTAAAATGAGTACCTGGTGGAGCGTGTAAGCGTCACCACTGGAGAGACAGAAGGCCACCGATTTAACCTGCACTGTGCCAGCCTTCATAGGTGCTCGCTAACAGCACCTGCCCTAAGAATCTGGTAAAGGCTATAGTCGGGAGCTTAGTCTTTGACGTACAACTCCCGAGCGTGCTTTCCGGCTGTACCGCACGTCGTTCGGCGGGGTGAACAACACATTTTATGATCGTAACATCCCGTGTCCGACGTTTCGCTCCATCAGGAAAACGCTGCCAAACGCGCGGAGCGCCGAGGCGTCGTGCGGAACAACATGTGGCACAGCCCGAACGGACGACGTGGAGAGCGACGGCGTAAACAGTGCGCAAGCGATAGGGAAACGTCACGATTCATAGCACAATTCTCAAGCTCACTTTACGTGACGAGAAAATGTCGGCTGTGAAAATCGGTTGCGGACAACCTGTGCAAGTAATATTTAAATGTTAAAAAAGGTTTTTGTTTACAAATCCCATCAGCCACACGCCCTTCTGGGAGCGTATATCGACACCGTTGGTTCAATGGGAGAAAATGTCACAAGACGCTACAATAGTCACAACAAATGGGAATACACCAAGCAGTTAAAATACTAACAAGACAACGGAGATAAAACGTACGAGACAAACAGTAGAAATGAGGCCAGATGAACGGCAGCGAATATACTGGATCGACGACACTAACACGACAATAATGCGATGGAACAAAACGAGACTGACAATACAAACAGGGCAGAATGGGATGAACAAATACAAACGAGACTGCCAAGAAATGTTGACAGAACTAGAGAGAACGGGCCATACAGAGAGACAAACGAGATGCAGAATCGTGACCCCCCCACCCCCCAAGATCATGGCAATTAATCTCAATGTTTCCAGGAGCACAAGGCTATTAATAAAGTTGTGCGATAATAAAGTTGTTTAAAAATGTAACTCATTGGCTGTGTCGGGTGGTGGCGGGTTTAACGACGCACGCGATCGAACCCAAAAAAAAAAACAATTATGGATACTTCACCCCCCACTGAAGGAGGGGATTGGAGGGATCCAGGACCAGTGCAGATACCACTCCGTGCCACCGATGTTATCCCAAGGCCAGGAATCAAAACTCGGATCGCCAGGTTCTTCAGCGCAATGCGCTAACCACTGCACCGGCCCGGTAGAGTCATGCGTCCCCCCTCGTATTTGTAAGAAGTTTGCGTTGCCTTCGGACAGGTCAGCAACCTGTGGCTTCAGAGCAGCGTGCGGCCCTTTAAGGACCGCCACATCGTGACGTCATTTATTAAGGACCCACCGTCTTGTGTTCGCGCACATCGTGGCTTTTCAAATACCGAGCTATGTTTTTTGTTTTTACCTAATTCCAAATAAATGGCTCTTCTTGTTATTTTGGTTGCCAACCCCTGGCTTAGGATATCAAACACCCGCCAAGTGGTGTTTCGGTCTTTCATCGGTTACAGACTGGCCCTGTATTTATGTAGGCCTGCATGTGAGCATATTATGTACGCTAGATGGTAAGAAACCATAAACTACTGATCCATCAAATAAACACATTCCTGCGGAGGGGGCTGGTAGGAACGTTGGTTGCTCGGCCAGTGGCCAGAGTCAACGGCGGCGTGGTGTATTCCGCAAATATGCCCGACTGTGAGGGCGGGCACAAGCCAGCGTGAGTAGGTTAAACGTTGAGTTTTATAATCCCGGTTGGGCTTCCAGTCCACTACGTTTCCTACCAGTAATGCCCACTAGGAGCGCATTTGTTATATATCCGGGTGTCCGGATACACGTGGACAGACATCCACAGACATACACAATTAACCCCCTGCCTCCTGTGAATTAATCCCGGTTGGGCTTCCAGTCCACTGCGTTTCCTACCAGTAAAATGTCACCGATATTAGCTAAACATCCCAATACAGGCACTCCTTGACATAAGCGATAGATGCGTTCCTGGAATAGCGCACGTTTTACCTCAAAATCGCGTATGTCGAAAGCAGTTTTCTCATAGGGAAAAATGGTAACGGAGGGGGTTAGGGGATTTCACTCGAACTCGCAGACATAATCGCCTATATTATCCTAGCCTATGTCAATACAAGCACACGCAATATTATACTCGGTCATCAATTCTTAACGACCTGTGTTCTCTTGCTACAGTACCCTCTCATTAATAACCATCCTTCCTCTCCGGATGTCAGCCATCCGGCCACCTGCGTTCTTCATTATCACTTCACGCTTCGTCATCGCCCGGCACCGGCTGCTGGCAACGCCATTGGTTCGCGGTGCCAGGCTAGGGGCGGGGCGTACGCCGCGTTGCTGGTGACGTTATTCCGAAAATCGCCTCGTGTACGTCAATAAAATGTCTAAAATATATACGGAGCGTCGCCGCGTTACTCCAAAATAGTGACAACAATAGCTGCAGTTTACTCGAATTTACTCCATTGGGATTACACCTTACAACATCGCCCCCCACCCTCCTCGAATGTACTATAACGCAGTGTGTAATGTTACACGGTTATGTAACCTGTTATAATATAGCGTCATATAATGTATTGTATCAAAACGTTAATAATACATTTTTTCATACGATGTCATAATACAACATCGCATAATGCATTATGTGATGGATATGCATTGTCTTAATATTATCAAAGTATGTTTTTGTTTGCATTCTGACCACAAGTATTGTGGTCAATGCAGACAAGATTCCTTGTAAAAGGTTTCAGTTTGGTGTTTTAACATCTAAACACCTACATTTTTATTTAAAGCTTTCGTGACTGCAGGGATTCATATTCTTGGTTCTTTCGGTAAAGTCACCACGTAGAAGGGAGACAATAAAATAATAAAAATATAAAACAATAAAATTATCACGACGTTTCGACTGCAACACAAGCAACCATCATCAGGTGTGAAAACCACAGCAAGAAAATTTGAAAAAAGTGGCGTTTTTTTAATTTTCTTGCTGTGGTTTTCACACCTGATGATGGTTGCTTGTGTTGCGGTCGAAACGTCGTGAGAATTTTATTGTTTAATATTTTTATTATTTTATTGTTTCCATTCTACGTGACTACCGAAAGAACCAAGAATATATATTAACAGATGTTTTGTTGCCAGAAAAAAGAGGAAAACCTATTCTCAATGTAATGGATTTCATGACATTGTATACTTTACCGTGTTATAACGTAATAAAACATTATACAATGGTATAATATAACATATATTGTATACCACAATATCACACTGTTATAACATTATACCATGACACAGTATATGTTATTATATAACATATACATATAACATATACAGGGTGGCCCAAAAGTCAGGACACACAGGGTTATTTAACAAATCATATAGCATACTTAATTTATTTTAACAAATGTTCAAACTGACTCCCATTAACATCCAATGCTTGCATGAATTATCTTTTAAAATAAGTGTAGGATTACAGCTGTAAACCTTGAACATTCATCAAATAAGTTTTGTCTCAATACACTCAAGAGTTCTTGGTCGAGCTTGCAGTGACCGCACACGAAGAAGACGTGAAATAGATATCAACAACGATAATGGATAAATTATTAACTTAAATAATATACAATTAAAATGTCTTAATGCCACTGTTAAAATAAATGTAATGACCCTGTGTTCTGACTTTATAATCTAATGCCACAGATTCAGTCACAACAGAATGTCAAACGGAAATGCAGTGTTACAATATGAAGCGTCACACTGTAATGTATTACAATGCCACACGTTATCATGTAAAGTCTCATACACAATGCAATGTATAAGTCAATGTGTTATACATATAACGATAAGTTATCGCCGCTATATTGTGTGATACAATGTCACGTTATATATAATGCATTACAATGCCACGTACAGCACCGTCAAATGTGAGAATATGTCATGCATAAGGAAACTTCAAGAGTCGTTATCACCACACTGCAATGCATAAACGCAATGTGTTATTACAATGTAACAAGTAATATTGCACCTGCAATGTATTCGCAAGGCCAAGGCGTGCAATGCGTTACAATGGCACGCGCCATCTCGCACACGGTGCAAAACATAACGCAACGTGTCCTAAAGCGACAACAGTTACCACTATTACCACCACATGTTGTTCTATTATTCTACACGTAAGTATGAATGTGTCGTCAACCCGCCCACCACCCAACGCAGTCCAGTAAGGTTCGTCACACGTTCTGGTAAAATCGCCCGCTGCTGCTGCTGATTGATTGATGTAATCGCATAGCTGTCAACCCCTTATCAGTGCCCTACCTTATTACAAACCAATTCGGACCTTATTGGTCACCCCGTGCCCCTTATAAATCTCAACGTTCATCCTACAAAGTCCCATCACAAGAAGAGAAACACAAACAAATAGAAACAAAATAGTTTTTTGTTGCCCTTTTTGAAACGGCTGTACTCCGTACGGACCTGAAAACTCAATTTGGCTGCACAAGAATACGTGGTTAGACCGTGTGATGTTGACACGTGGTTAGACCGTGTGGTGTTGACACGTGGTTAGACCATGTGATGTTGACACGTGCGGGTTGACACGTGTGGATTGACACGGGGTTAGACCATGTGATGTTGACACGTGTGGGTTGACACGTGTGGGTTGACACGTGTGATGTTGACACGTGTGGGTTGACACGTGTGGGTTGACACGTGTGATGTTGACACGTGTGGGTTGACACGTGTGATGTTGACACGTGTGGGTTGACACGTGTGGGTTGACACGTGTGGGTTGACACGTGTGGGTTAACACGTGTGATGTTGACACGTGTGGGTTGACACGTGTGGGTTGACACGTGTGATGTTGACACGTGCGGGTTGACACGGGGTTAGTCCGTGTGATGTTGACACGGGGTTAGTCCGTGCGGGTTGACACGTGGTTAGACCGTGTGATGTTGACACGTGTGGGTTGACACGTGTGATGTTGACACGTGTGGATTGACACGGGGTTAGACCATGTGATGTTGACACGTGTGATGTTGACACGTGTGGGTTGACACGTGTGATGTTGACACGTGTGGATTGACACGGGGTTAGACCATGTGATGTTGACACGTGTGATGTTGACACGTGTGGGTTGACACGTGTGGGTTGACACGTGTGATGTTGACACGTGTGGGTTGACACGTGTGGGTTGACACAGGGTTAGACCATGTGATGTTGACACGTGTGATGTTGACACGTGTGGGTTGACACAGGGTTAGACCATGTGATGTTGACACGTGTGATGTTGACACGTGTGATGTTGACACGTGTGGGTTGACACGTGTGGGTTGACACGTGTGGGTTGACACAGGGTTAGACCATGTGATGTTGACACGTGTGGGTTGACACGTGTGATGTTGACACGTGTGGGTTGACACGTGTGATGTTGACACGTGTGGGTTGACACGTGTGGGTTGACACAGGGTTAGACCGTGTGATGTTGACACGTGTGATGTTGACACGTGTGGGTTGACGTGTGGGTTGACACGTGTGATGTTGACACGTGTAATGTTGACACGTGTGATGTTGACACGTGTGGGTTGACACGTGTGGGTTGACACGTGTGATGTTGACACGTGTGATGTTGACACGTGTGGGTTGACACGTATGGGTTGACACGGTCTATAACCAGCGAAACGTCGCCGTACTCGGATAGTAGTTGTTGTTGTTGTGTTTAACTCTCCAGCACACAACCGCTGTACGCGCCGTGCCAGTCACACGATCGGCACGTTCTGTTTACGAAACAAATCCCCACCCCAGCCCCTCACCTCCTACTGATTTGGCCTTGACGGGTGGCGGCGGATTCAACGACACACAATTTATATTTAGCCCCCACACCAAAAAACCAACCCTCTGCATAGTGAAAGCGCTCGCCTTGTGGGAGGAGCACGGCGCGATGATGATGCTGCTGATGATGCTGCTGATGATGATGAGGAGGATACAGGGTGAAGCCTTTGAGGATGGACTCAGCTTTGTCGCACTTCTCCGTCATGCCGCCGGGGAGATTCTCGCTTCTCTCTCTCTCTCTTCGTCTGAGGCTGGCTTGGGGCTTTCTTCCTCTCAACAACAACACGCACCTGCCCTACCCGTTTACAACGTAATTATCGACAAACGACGTCGATTAATAATAATAATTGACGGTAACGATCGCGATCAACGCTGGGCCCAGGTCGACAAAAACCCTGGCGGCGTCCCAAGGCGATTGAGCGGCGTCGTGACGTCACGCGGCGATCAGTGACGCGCTCCTTAGCAACCGCGGCGATGACGTCACCGGAAGTCGCCTTCCGCGTTGGCACCGCGCCTGGCACACAAGCGGGGCGGTGACGTCCGTCGCCGGCTTCGTGGGGAATGTCGGTTGTTGTTGTTTGTTTGTGTGTCTCTGTGTGTGCCCTGTGTCTTTGATGACGCCGCGTAGCCGTTGTGACGCGCGAGAGGAAACTTGTATCAGGTGACGTCATGGTGTAATGGCACGCTCCGTCCGTGTATGATTACGTCATGCATCGATGTGGCTCCCGCTTATTGAATTACGTCATGTCGCGGTGAGCCGACAGGTTGTGGTGACGTCACGTAGGCTGGTAGTAACAATAACTTCGATCTTGATTTGAAGATTTCGTGAGTGCGGGAATCCTTAGTTCTTTCGGTAAAGTCGCGTAGAAAGAAATTTAATTAAACGATAGAAAACAAACACATTTTTGGAAATGTAATACAATGCAACGCAGAGAGTCGTCTAACACACAGTTAACGCATGGCCTGGTTTATTAAATCTTTTTTTAAAACTTACATCCTCCCCGTAGAGGTGGTTCAATCTTGATTTAAAGTTTTCGTGACTGCAGGAATTCGTCTTTGATTCTTTCTTTCTACGTGACTTTATTTCCTTACCACGTGACTTTAGGTGTGTAGAGTTTTGATGAGGGAATTCTTCGGGGATGGATGGTGGTGGGAGTCAGGTTTTAGGTAGGCATCCATATGGGTGGCTTTCCTGTAGTCAGAGTGTCCCATTGAGCCATCAGGTCTCTTTTCGATTAAAACATCGAAGAATGGTAACTTGCCATCCTTTTCCACCTCCATGGTGAATGTGATGGCTGGGTGTATGGAATTGATGTGGTTTAAGAAATGGCCCAGAGCTGGTAGGCCATGTGGCCAGATGACGAACGTGTCATCTACGTACCTCTTACACAAGGACGGACGTAGAGTGGATGCCTGGATGGCATCTGTCTCAAATTTCTCCATGGAAACATTGGCTACAACTGGAGATAAGGGCGAACCCATCGGGGTACCTTCAACTTGTTTATAGAATGTTCAATTCCAGGTGAAGTAAGTGCTGGTGAAGCAGTGTCTAAACAGGGCCAGTACATCAGTATTCAGCCCTTGGACCAAATCTTCAATGATTGCAATGGTGTCAGGCACAGGAACTTTGGCAAACAAAGATACCACATCGAAACTGACAAGCAAATCACCTGGAGATAGTGAGATGTCTTTAATTGAAGATATCAAGTGAGCTGAGTTAAGTACAGTTGAGGCGGTCTTACCAGTGAATGGTTGCAAGGTCTCAGACAGAAATCGGGCCAGTTTGTACGTGGGTGCGCTAATGGTGGAAATGATAGGATAGAGTGGTGTACCTTTTTTATGGATTTTTGGTAAGCCATAAAATCTGAGTGGTCTAGCAGCAGAGGGTTTTAAGGAAAGCCGCTTGGTTGGTTCGATTAAAGATGTCAAATCAATGATGATGTTGGTTTTCGTAACCAGGCGGTTGGTAGGATCTCTATTGATTTTGGTATAGCTGCCATAATTAAGTAGGTCCTGACTGCAGCTATCACGCAGCTCAGCAGTGAGTCTGACATAGTCTGGCGGCCTGCCCCATGGATTACCACACATCCTTCAATCTGGCCTCCCTACAGGCTGCCGCTGGCTCAACATTTTTGCTGCCGCAGGCCAGTGGCAAACGACACCAGCGCATTCACACCCCTGAGTCTTCTGACAGAACAATCAAAAGCTGAATGATGATGACGTCAGCGACGCTGTGGATCTTAAAACGGCGGCCCAGCAGACTGCAGCTTACGCTGCTGTGCTTCAGCATGACACTGCGCGTGTTGACGAAATTCCTATAAAACGTAACCTGTTCGACTGGGTTCAGTCGACGTTTGAACCTTGCGGACACGAGACAAACTTTTTAAAGGTACGCAACTTAATTCTTTGATGCAGCCGGCGGTGGACTATCTGTTTGCTTAAACACATTAATATTATTCATCCTTGATCGTTTCTGTGTGGATTAAATATCGGCCGTTCTATAGAATTCGGGGGGGGGGGGGTGGTTCAAGCGTACGTACGCAGGTGGGGGGGGGGGGGGTGTAAAAAGTACGCATGCGTACAAGGAGGGGGGGGGGAGGGGTCAAGTACTAAATGGATGGCCCCATACTCTACGTCTATCCACGTAACATAAATATATACTCTAAGGACATATTTTACACATCCCATCAGCCAAACGGCCCTCAGCGAGTGCACAACACAAGCGGCATTAGTTCAACACAAGTTTTGACATGCAGTGTCTCATCAGCAGTCAGGCTCGCTTGAAGCAATGCTGTTGCAATTAGTTTTTCAAACTATTGGCCCTGTGAAGGCCGGCGTCCACCCCGCCGCCCTCCCCGGGCAGGTGGGGCGTGACGTCCGCCCCCTCCACTCCCTCCACCCCTTCCTCCATCGTGTCGATCGGCTCCCGCCGGTTCCCCGCCAACCGGGTGATCGGCCCTCCTTCGCTAGCGCCCTCTCTGAGGGACATAGCTAAATTGCTGGCTCACCACCGCACGGGGTTACTCCACACACGCCCACGTACACCTCCACTAATGCTAACGCGGCGGCGGAAACGCGCGCGCCCCTGCAGGCGATTATATCCTAACACGCGCACACCACAGCTAACGCTAGCGTGGCGGCGTGAACGCACGCGCCCCTGCAGGCGATTATATCAACGCGCCCTCGTGCTGCGGCTCTGCCCTCACTCTCACTGCGCGTCCGCCCACGCAGCCGCTCCACACACAAATTGCAGACACTGCACCGATGCTCTGTGCTAGCGTTTATTCACGGCGCAAAGCCTGCACTGCCCGGAGGGAATATTCGGTGAGCAAAGCCGAGCCTGCTGCTATCCAAGTCGCCAAACACTCACATGCCCTATCACGTACCTCGCACCTGTACCTACGGCGTCGCACGGACGCTGTGAGAGTCGTAGGGAGGATGACGAAAAAACCTTGCCTATCACTGCCTCGTAGCAGCACTCGCTGGTATCACACGGATGCTGCGAGCGGCTCGAGGAGGCAAGATTAGCTGGGGGGGGGGGGGTCTTGACGACCAAGCTGTTGAAGATAAGAGATCTCCGGAACGTTTTTTGGCTCCCCTTTTTTTGCCCCTTGACTTCAAACAAAATCCAGGACTATGTTATCCCGCGCGGCCAATTATCCCGCGCGGCCAATAACCTGTGCTTTTCCGTTAGTTTTTCTTGCCTTACATGGAGCGTTGCGCCAGTTACTTCTCGACCTATTGTCTACGCACCTGAGCTCGTTAATTTCTGACTCAACCTGTTTAATCTTGAAGGACGACCGGCTGGCGAAAAAACACCCTGCCAGTGTGCATTCGGTCTGTGGCGCTGGGATCCCCTGACCTCATTGTCTGCTCTGCTCGCTGAATATTTCACCCCAGCCCCCTCCCCGGTGTCGTGCGTGGCTCACTGCGGCTGGCCCAGTGAACCTTTGTGTGCCCAAACAATTTTTAGCCAATTTAGGGGCACTGCAATGTGGCTTGTCCTGTGAGGGTCGGCCAATCTCCTGGCACCGGGAAACCGTGGGACTTTCCCTTCGGACTAAAACCCATTGTGCCAGGCAATCCCCCGCTGGGACACTACGTGTGTGCACTACGTGTGTGTGCTCAGGGTGGGGCCAGGGGGGAGTCGCAGCGCTTGCGGAGTTGCTCCGTGGCCGTGGCACCACAGTCCTATACCTGAAACAGAGTTGTGAATCCTTGCCTATAAATCAATGGGGCAGGTCCCCAAGGATTGGTTTCCAGCGAGCCTGTTGACTCTGCTAATGAGACATTGAATGTCGAGATGCGGTGCTGAGCTTTGCTTGGACTGCATAACTGTCAACCCATACGGTTTACCCCGTATTCTTGTACAGGGAAATGGAGTTTTCAGGTCCATACGGCATACAGCCGTTTCAATACGGGCAAAAATCTGTCTATTTGTTTGTGTTTCTCCCTTGTGAAGGTTCTTTGTAGGATGAACGTTGAGATTTATAAGGGGCACGGGGTGACCAATAAGGTCTGAATTGGTCTGTAATAAGTAGGGCACTGATAAGGGGTTGACAGCTATGGGACTGAATCAATGCTGCTGAAATTAAACACTCCCAGAAGGCTGTGTGGCTGTTGGGAAAGTGTAAAAAACACGCTTTTGTCTTTTATATAGAGAGAGGCAGAGAGATATGGGAAGGGGTTATATCATTTTAAGGGCGCCGTGGTGGCAATATGTTAACTACCTCGCCTGGTGTACAGGAGGTTGTGGGTTCGACCCCGACCATGACGCCTGCTGCTGCTGCTGCTGTATATTTGGAGTTTGCGTGTCTCTCTCGCCATGGTCGAGTGGATTTTTTTCTCTGGGTCCTCCGGTTTTTCCCTCCACATTTAGTAATCAACAACAACACGCGTTTAGAGTGTTTGGCAGCTATAAATGTCCACACGATAAGCTTAAAAAGCAGGCTACAGTCTACATTATAGACTGCCAGTACACTTACCGAGGTTAAGAACCAGGCTACAGTCTACATTATAGACTGCCAGTACGCTTACCGAGGTTAAGAACCAGGCTACAGTCTACATTATAGACTGCCAGTACGCTCACCGAGGTTAAAAACCAGGCTACAGTCTACATTATAGACTGCCAGTACACTCACCTAGGTTAAGAACCAGGCTACAGTCTGCATTATAGACTGCTAGTACGCTCACCGAGGTTAAAAACCAGGCTACAGTCTACATTATAGACTGCCAGTACACTCACCCAGGTTAAGAACCAGGCTACAGTCTACATTATAGACTGCCAGTACACTCACCCAGGTTAAGAACCAGGCTACAGTCTACATTATAGACTGCCAGTACACTCACCCAAGTTAAGAACCAGGCTACAGTCTACATTATAGACTGCCAGTACACTCACCCAGGTTAAGAACCAGGCTACAGTCTACATTATAGACTGCCAGTACACTCACCCAGCTTAATAACCAGGCTACAGTCTACATTATAGACTGCCAGTACACTCACTCAGCTTAATAACCATTGCTACAGTCTACATTATAGACTGCCAGTATACTCACCAAACTTAATAACCAGGCTACAGTCTACATTATCGACTGCCAGTACACTCACTCTGATTTAGAACCAGGCTACAGTCTACTTTAGTGTTTTTATTATTATTTTATTTTTATTCACTTTATTTTTTTTATATTATTTTTCTTCTATCTCCGTGACTTTGCCGAGAGAACCAAAGAATATGAAGCCGACTTCGTTGGGGCTATCATTTGTGTTGGCCAGCTCGCTTCTGAGAAAATAACTTCACAGCTCAGTGGCGCCTTACCTGGTCAAATAAATAAATAGTTTGGGCGACATTCGAAGCTTTCGTGACTGCAGGAATTACTCTTTGGTTCTTTCGGTAGAGTCACGTAGAAAGAAATTAAATTAAATAATAATAGAATACGACGTTTCGATTGCAACACAAGCAACCATCATCAGGTAAGAATGAATGAGAAAACAAACATAGTAAACTTGGAAATATAATGCAATACGACACAGAGAGTCGGCCAACACAAGTCAACACCCCACCTGGTTGATTACGTTCTTCCAAAAAATGTTTGTGTGAGCCTCTCTCTGCTTGTGTGTCTGTCTGTGTGTCTCTGTGTGAGTCTCTCTGCTTGTGTGTCTCTCTCTGTGTGTGTCTCTGTGTGAGTCTCTCTCTGCTTGTGTGTCTCTCTGTGTGTGTGTCTCTGTGTGAGTCTCTCTCTGCTTGTGTGTCTGTTTGTGTCTCTCTGTGTGAGTCTCTCTCTGCTTGTGTGTCTCTGTGTGTCTCTGTGTGAGTCTCTCTCCGCTCGTGTGTCTCTCTCTGTGTGTGTCTCTGTTTGAGTCTCTCTCTGCTTTTGTGTCTCTGTGTGAGTCTCTCTCTGCTTGTGTCTGTCTGTGTGTCTCTGTGTGAGTCTCTCTCTGCTTGTGTATGTCTGTGTGTCTCTGTGTGTGTCTCTCTCTGCTTGTGTGTCTGTCTGTGTGTCTCTGTGTGAGTCTCTCTCTGCTTGTGTGTCCGTCTGTGTATCTATGTGTGTCTGTCTGTGTGTCTCTGTGTGTGTCTCTCTCTGCTTGTGTGTCTGTCTGTGTCTCTGTGTGAGTCTCTCTCTGCTTGTGTCTGTCTGTGTGTCTCTGTGTGAGTCTCTCTCTGCTTTTGTCTCTCTGTGTGAGTTTCTCTCTGCTTGTGTGTCTGTCTGTGTGTCTCTGTGTGAGTCTCTCTCTGCTTGTGTGTCTGTTTGTCTCTGTGTCTCTCTCTGCTTGTGTATCTGTCTGTGTGTCTATGTTGTGTGTCTCTCTCTGCTTGTGTGTTTGTCTGTGTGTCTCTGTGTGAGTCTCTCTGTGTGTCTGTCTGTTTGTCTCTGTGTGAGTCTCTCTCTGCTTGTGTCTGTCTGTGTGTCTCTGTGTGAGTCTCTCTCTCTTTTTTTAGAGTTTTCATCGGTTTGTTTGTTTAATGTTCATAGTAAGTGCACGTTACAAATAAGCTTGTTGCACAGCGTGCTTCTCCTGGTCAATGCTCCCAACAGACCAATGGCATTTTAGAGGGGCATTAACACAAAGCCCATAACCACAGGTTAACCAACCGTTTGGTCCCCATACTGGTAGCAAGGGGAGGGGGAAAAGTAAATTGCTTTACAACAGAAAATTATTTCACGTAAAAAAACTAAGACAACCACATTTCACAGGGAAGTGTCTCCCCCCCCCCCTCTTGAGCCATGGACGGGATGCATGTTGAGGGCACGGCAGCTCCTGAACACCTCACGCGTTTGGCTGACTCTTCTCCTGGTCAATCGTCTCCTTTGTGGGCAGGGTGTTCTTTTCAGTGGTCTCTGCTTTCTTAAGCTTGGACTTGTCGAACGTCTCAATCGAACTCAGGTCTGGTTTGTCTGCCATGTTGCTGCAGAGTTGTTGGGACGCTCAACACAGCCACGACCTCCCAGATTCCTCGCTGCAGTGCTTGTGTGTCTGTCTGTTTGTCTCTGTGTCTCTCTCTGCTTGTGTATCTGTCTGTGTGTCTATGTTGTGTGTCTCTCTCTGCTTGTGTTTGTCTGTGTGTCTCTGTGTGAGTCTCTCTCTGCTTGTGTGTCTGTCTGTGTGTATCTGTGTGAGTCTCTCTCTGCTTGTGTCTGTCTGTGTGTCTCTGTGTGAGTCTCTCTCTGCTTGTGTGTCTCTCTCTCTGTGTGTGTCTCTGTGTGAGTCTCTCTCTGCTCGTGTGTCTGTCTGTATCTGTGTGAGTCTCTCTCTGCTTGTGTGTCTCTCTCTGTGTGTCTCTGTGTGAGTTTCTCTCTGCTCGTGTGTCTGTCTGTGTCTCTGTGTGAGTCTCTCTCTGCTTGTGTGTCTGTCTGTGTGTCTCTGTGTGAGTCTCTCTCTGCTTGTGTCTGTGTGTCTCTGTGTGAGTCTCTCTCTGCTTGTGTGTCTGTCTGTGAGTCTCTGTGTGAGTCTCTCTCTGCTTGTGTATGTCTGTGTGTCTCTGTGTGAGTCTCTCTCTGTTTGTGTCTGTTTGTGTCTCTCTGTGTGAGTCTCTCTCTGCTTGTGTCTCTCTCTGTGTGTCTCTGTGTGAGTCTCTCTCTGCTCGTGTGTCTGTCTGTGTCTCTGTGTGAGTCTCTCTCTGCTTGTGTCTCTCTCTCTGTGTGTCTCTGATGAGTCTCTCTCTGCTCGTGTGTCTGTCTGTGTCTCTGTGTGAGTCTCTCTCTGCTCGTGTCTGTGTGTCTCTGTGTGAGTCTCTCTCTGCTTGTGTCTGTCTGTGTGTCTCCGTGGCTGTGTTTTGTCTCTCTCTCAAATGTAGCAATCTTTGGGAGAACGTAATCAACCAGGTGGGGTGTTGACTGTTGTGTTGGCCGACTCTCTGTGTCGTATTGCATTATATTTCCAAGTTTACTATGTTTGTTTTCTCATTCATTCTTACCTGATGATGGTTGCTTGTGTTGAAATCGAAACGTCGTATTCTATTATTATTTAATTAAATGTATTTCTATGTGACTTTACCGAAAGAACCAAAAAGTAAATAGTTTGAGTTTAGTACTTTGTTCTACCGTATATTCTCCACACCGAGACTAACAATACAGTCATTGTTTCACGGAGTAAAAGGCTGCTCCTATGCCCTGACTCAATTGCTTATCACATAACGTAATCCCAACGTGACTGCAGGAATGCATATTCCTTGGGTCTTTCGGCGAAGTCACGTAAATGGGTTCAAGTTAATAAAAATAAACAACAAAACTACGACGTTTCGATCGCAACACAAGCGGTCGTCACCAGGCGGAGAGAAAAAACACTTGCATTACGTTAAATCACGGATTGTCCTGCTGTGACGTCATAGCACAAGTCAATGATTGGATCGCGTCATCGCATCGTCCCCTCGCTCACGCGTCGGCGACGACGTCACGAATCACCGGGCGAACCGCCGCCCGCCGCCACGCGTCATTACGCAAGAGCGCACGTAGCGTGACGTCGGCACGTTCGTGTGTGACGTCATGGCGTACGCCGACTCCTCAGGGCGTGGGCTGGGGGGGAGAGGTAACGGAGAGGAAACGGGGAGGGGGGGAGAGAGGGGGAGAGAGAGGGGGGGAGAGAGAGAGGGGGAGAGAGAGGGGGGAGAGAGGAGAGAGAGGGGGGAGAGAGGGGGAGTAGAGAGAGGGGAGAAAGAGAGGGGGGAGAGAGAGGAGAGAGAGGGGAGGGAGAGAGAGGGGGGGAGAGAGAGAGGGGAGGGAGAGAGAGGGGGGAGAGAGAGAGAGAGGGAAGGGGTAAGAAGGAGGAGAGCAGAGCGTGAAATCTTTCATTTAAAAAGGGGGGGGGGGGTTACATAAGGCAAAGCAAAAAAAACGAAATGATGAACGAAGCAAAAAATGCCGACTACACCGAGCATCTTCTTGTTTCCTCTGATCGTAAAAAAGAGAGAGAGCGAGGAGAGGAGGAAGGAAAGGGAGAGGGAGCAAGGACAGGGAGAGTAAAGGGGGGGGAGGGAGAGGAAAGGAGAAGTGGTAAGAAGGAGGAGAGCAGAGCGTGGAATCTTTTGTGAAATCTTTCATTTAATAAAGGGGGGGGGGGGTTACACAAAGCAAAGCATTGTAAAAAAAACACTCAAAACCGAAATGATGAACGAAGCAAAGTGGCGACTATACCGATCATCGGCTTGTTTCCTCTGACTCTTAAATAAAGAGCGAATAGAGAGAGGGAGCGCGCAGGGGAGGGGTGGGCGGGAGAGGGGTGGGGGGTCGAGCGAGGGGAGAGATAAGGAGCGCGAGAGGAAAGTGAAGGGAGAGTGAAAGGAGAGATAAGGAGAGCGAGGGGAGAGATAAGGAGAGCGAGGGGAGAGATAAGGAGAGCGAGGGAAGAGCCGCTGGAGGCGTCGGAGATCGCGATGTGACCACGCAGCGGAGAGAATCACCTTGGCTACAGGTGAGAGAGAGAGAGACACGGGGAGAGACACGGGGAGAGACACGGGGATAGAGGGACACGGGGAGAGAGACACACGGGGAGAGGGAGACACGGGGAGAGAGAGACACGGGGAGAGAGAGACACGGGGAGAGAGAGACACGGGGAGAGAGGGACACGGGGAGAGAGGGACACGGGGAGAGAGGGACACGGGGATAGAGGGACACGGGGAGAGGGGGACACGGGGAGAGGGGGACACGGGGAGAGAGGGACACGGGGAGAGAGGGACACGGGGAGAGAGGGACACGGGGAGAGAGGGACACGGGGAGAGAGGGACACGGGGAGAGAGGGACACGGGGAGAGAGACACACGGGGAGAGGGAGACACGGGGAGAGAGGGACACGGGGAGAGAGGGACACGGGGAGAGAGGGACACGGGGAGAGAGGGACACGGGGAGAGAGGGACACGGGGAGAGAGGGACACGGGGAGAGAGGGACACGGGGATACAGGGACACGGGGATAGAGGGACACGGGGATAGAGGGAGACACGGGGATAGAGGGAGACACGGGGATAGAGGGAGACACGGGGATAGAGGGAGACACGGGGAGAGAGAGAGACACGGGGAGAGAGAGAGACACGGGGAGAGAGAGAGACACGGGGGAGAGAGAGAGACACGGGGAGAGAGAGAGACACGGGGAGAGAGAGAGACACGGGGAGAGAGAGAGACACGGGGAGAGAGAGAGACACGGTGAGAGAGAGAGACACGGGGAGAGAGAGAGACACGGGGAGAGAGAGAGACACGGGGAGAGAGAGAGACACGGGGAGAGAGAGAGACACGGGGAGAGAGAGAGACACGGGGAGAGAGAGAGACACGGGGAGAGAGAGAGACACGGGGAGAGAGAGACACGGGGAGAGAGGGACACGGGGAGAGAGGGACACGGGGATAGAGGGACACGGAGAGAGATACGGAGAGAGATACGGGGAGAAAGGGACACGGACATAGAGACACTGGGAGAGAGGGACACGGGGAGAGATATACTGGGAGAGACAAAAGAGACACGGGAGATGTGGTGATGATGTTGGTGATGTTGTTGGTGATGGTGGTGATGATGATGGAGGTATTTCCTGCATTGTGGAACACGTTTACGTGGTTCACGTTAGAATGTTTCTAGAACCAGCAATGATGCCGTTGCAGGTGATAGTGATATCAATGACCATTTAGTGGCGTGGGGGTGGTGACAATGATTGGGTTAATGATGGTTTTGGTGGTGGTAATGCTGTTGGTGATCGTAATGATGATAACAATGATGATTATGGTGGTGGCGATGATGATGGTAGTGATGATGGTGAGGATGGTCTTTGATAGCGCAGAAAAATCTTGTTTCATTCACATCGCCATCATCATCACCCCCATCATCACCATCATCATCACTCCTATCATCACCATCATCATCACTCCCATCATCACCATCATCATCATCACTCCCATCATCACCATCATCATCACTCCCATCATCACCATCAATCTCGATGGTTAAGAAGACAGGGTCACGGCCAGCGCGCACGCGGCACCCTCGGTGATGGTGATGGTGATGATGGTGGTGGTGATGATGGTGGTGCTGGTGGTGGTGATGATGGTGGTGCTGGTGGTGATGGTGCTGGTGGTGCTGGTGGTGATGATGGTGGTGATGCTGGTGGTGCTGGTGGTGCTGGTGGTGCTGGTGGTGGTGATGCTGGTGGTGCTGGTGGTGCTGGTGGTGGTGCTGGTGGTGCTGGTGGTGGTGATGGTGGTGATGGTGGTGATGATGGTGGTGATGGTGGTGGTGATGATGGTGGTGGTGGTGGGTTTAACCAGACTGGATTGTGTGAGGAGCTCACAAATCCTTGAAAGATCTGGGCAAGGTCCCATCGGTGAGCTCCTCCGGCGGGCAAGGCTGCGATGACTGGGTCATGTAGCCCGCATGCCCAGCCACCGCATGCCGAAACAGCTTTTGTTCGGCCGGATCGAGGGGGCTAAACGGGCGCGGCACGGGCTAGAGAAGAGATGGAGTGATGTGGTACAGGAGGACGTGGAGCTGAGTGGACTTGCCGATGACCGGTACCAGCGGTGTCAAGATCGGCCTCTGTGGAGGAGGCTCGTGAAGGACGCTACTGGGCAGTTGGAGGCAGTCGCCCTCCAACAACAACGGAGGGCGGAGGAGCGACGCTCACAACAATGAGCGGAGCGCCGGGTGGCTAGGGCACAGCAGGTTGGCACAGTAGGGGACACAGGTGGTGCATCAGCCAGTCATCTCAGTCATCTCAGTCAGTCGACCTGTGGCACCTGGTTCTGCCCCGTGACCTCCTGACAGCGGGCGTTCGACACTTCACGTGGCCTCAAGGTGCACATAGCCTGGCACAAGCGTCGTGGTGACGTCACCGCCACTTAGTGGCGAATGGCGGTTGTTGTTGATGTGACAGCGTCAGCTCCTGATGGGCACGATACAGCCACCGGATTATGAGGGTGGGGATACTGCTGCTGCTGATGCTAGCACCTCCGATTAGCACGGTTGGCTACGCACGGTGCGAAAGAAGTTCAACATCGTGATGATGTTGATACTGACGCGAGTAACAATGACGATGCTGCTGCTGCTCGTGACGATGACAAACCTGTCAACCCCTTACCAGTGCCCCACCTTATTACAGACCAATTTACACCTTATTGGTCACCCAGTGCCCATTATAAATCTCAACGTTCATCCTACAAAGTTCCATCACAAGGGAGAAACACACACAAATAGACACATTTGATTATTTTTGCCCGTATTGAAACGGCTGTACTCCGAATGGACCTGAGAACTCAATTTCCCTGTACAAGAATACGGGGCAAACCGTACGGGTTGATCGCGATATGATGATGCTGATGCTGCTGCAAGCGATGATGCTACTGTGGGTCATGATGATGATGCTGCTGGTCGTGATGTTCTTATTGCTGCTGTTGCTGCAAGTGATGGCGGTGATGTTAACGTGGGTGCAGATGCTAATGACGATGCTATCCTTGCTGTTCCTCGTGATGCTGCTCGTGATGATGATGATGCGAGTGATGGTGATGATGCTGATTAAAATCATGCTGATGTTACTAGTGATGCTGATCGTGATGATGATGATAGTGATGATGATTATAATCATGCTGCTGTTGCTAGTGATGCTGATCGTGATGATGCTGATGCTAGTGATGATCATGCTAGTGATGCTGATCGTGATGATGATGATGCTAGTGATGATGATCGTGATGATGATGCTAGTGATGATGATCGTGATGATGATGCTAGTGATAATGATGATTATAATCATGCTGCTGTTGCTAGTGATGCTGATCGTGATGATGCTAGTGATGATGATCGTGATGATGATGCTAGTGATAATGATGATCATAATCATGCTGCTGTTGCTAGTGATGCTGATCGTGATGATGATGCTAGTGATGATAATGATGATTATAATCAGGCTGATGTTGCTAGTGATGCTGATCGTGATGATGATGCAGTTGCTGATGCAAGATATCATTGCGATGCTTCTGTTGCTAGTGAGGTGATGATGATGTAGATGCGTGCGATGGCGCTCCTGCTAGTGTGGGTGATGATGATGTCGGTGATGATGCCTGTGATGATGCTGCTGATGCTGCTGGCGGTGTTGGTTTATAGACCGTATTTAACCAGGAGGTGACATTCACCTACCGAGTCGCACTAAGCACCAGCAGCAGCAGCAGCAGCGTCTCTCACCTCTCTTGGCAAGGGCAACCTGGGGCAATCAGAGCGCACAACACGCGACAAGAATATTTACATTGAACAGCCGAAGGGCTGCAGCACGAGGAGGTGCAGGAGAAGGATACACGGAAGAGGAATGTGGATGAAGAGGGGGAACAAGAAGAGGTGGAGGGGCAACAAGAAAAGGTAAAGGAGGAAGGGAACAGGAGGAGGTGGTGAAGGTCGAGTGGAACAGGAGGAGGTGGAACAGGAGGAGGTGGAACAGGAGGAGGTGGAACAGGAGGAGGTGGAACAGGAGGAGGTGGAACAGGAGGAGGTGGAACAGGAGGAGGTGGAACAGGAGGAGGTGGAACAGGAGGAGGTGGAACAGGAGGAGGTGGAACAGGAGGAGGTGGAGGAAAAGGAGGGTACAGGAGGAGGTGGAGAAGATGGAACAAGAGGAGGTGGATGAATAGGAGGAACAGGAGGTGGTGGAGGAGAAACAATGAAATGAGGAGGAGGAGGAGGAGGAGGGGAACACGAGGAGGTGGAGGAAGAGGGGGCGGGGAGAGGAGGAGGTTGGAGGGGGTGGGTGGCCGGGCGACGCTCCCATTTCTCTCGGCGTCGTTAGGATCCGGGGAGGCCGCGTCCATCACTGGGACTCCTCTCTCTGCCTCTCTCCCTCCTCCTTCACTCCTCTATCTTTTTTACCATCAGAGGAAGCAAGAAGATGCTCGGTGTAGTCGGCACTTTGCTTCCTTCATTATTTCGTTTTTTTGTTTTTATTTTAATGCTTTGCTTTGTGTAACCTCCCCCCCCCCCCTTTTTTTAAATGAAAGATTTCACAAAAGATTTAACGCGCTGCTCTCCTTACCCCTTCCCTCTCTCTCTACTCCCTCTCTCTCTCTCTACCTCCTCTTTCTACCCCTCTCTCTCTCTACCCCTCTCTCTCTACCCCCCCCCCCCCTCTCTCTCTACCCCCCCCTCTCTCTCTACCCCCTCTCTCCCTACTCCATGCCTATGTTCCCCCTATGTTTCCTATGTAATATTTGTAATATTATTATTTTTATATATAATTTTTTACGGCAAGTGCTGCATCTGCACCCAGCTCTTCCCACAGTCAAACGGCCTCCGACGGGTAGCTCAGATCTGCATGCAGAGCTCTCTACCGTCATCTGCCACCGAGCACACGGCCTCCTCCAGCGCCCACTGCTCCTTGAAGGCCGGCACGGCGTGGGTCAGCTGCGCATGGCGGAACTCCAGCCACACACACCCTGGCTCCGACCAGAGCGCGGAAG